TTTGGCCTTTTTCAAGTTTCTTGTCGGTAATGGTGCTAGAAATAGCTAGGACCTCCAGACCTATTTAAAACATTTTTCATGGACAAGGAGACAGTTTCCTGAAGCTCTTCATACAAGCACATTTCAGTCGATACTCTTGAAGCCTGGTCTTATACCGGCTAACCTGTTGCGGTCACAGGGTTTGCGGTCTCAGGATATCTGTCAACCGCGTGTTCTACCTTCTCCTTTCCCCTTTCCCTTCTTTCTCTCCCCTTCCTGGTATCTCCCTCCGAAGGCTCAGCCAAAGGCGAGAACGAAAAATTCCTCCAGACCCTCGCAAGGAGAGAAACCCTGGTTGGTACATGCATACTTGGAAAAATAGAAAGAAAAGCCACCCAAGAACCAAATACTCAGGGCTCTTTTCACCTCTTACTTCTCCTGCAAACCTTTGGAAATTCCCCAACCCAGTAACCTGTCCACATACAGACAGTCAAAAAAATGACTCCTCAAATGGAACCGAAACGAAAAGAATAGGACCGTGCTTGGAGATGCACTGCGAAAAATATGGGGAAAAGCTCATCTAAGGGCTTATTACGATTTGCGGTCAAAAGGGGTGATGCTCAAGAGCCCATCAACGCTTAAAGGGCTTGGGCGACCGATGGCGTAGGGGCGGGCGGGTAGTCTACATGTGCGCATTGGAGGAAGGGCTAATGATGGAATCGTCGCTTTCCAAACGCCTTCTTCGCCCAGCCTTCCTAAGCCCACTTAGACGCTGGCGACTGACTCCCTCAGATAACTTCCCTCCATAGAGCAGTCTTGCCCTAACTGTCTTCAAACCAAATCAGCGCAGTCTAGAATATTCGTGAAACCCCCTCACCTTCCTTCTTTTCGATTTCGGCCTCGCAATGATAACTTCATCGTCCTCATCATCCACTTCAGATTTCACGTCGTCATCCGGATTCGGACTTGTCTTGTAGTAACTGGCATCCGGTCAGAGCTAACCACCCTCTAACGCCTAAGAAACAAAATGTCAAGAGCGATTACGAAGTACAAACGACTTCCGATCCACTTCACAAATCAAAGGAGAAAATCTCTGGAAAGAACAGAATTCTGAAAGAAAACGAAAACCTCTTCCTTTTCGGTGGACTTCCTTTTTTCACCGGGACATCATTGCTAGCCGAAGAATTTTCTTCATCAGAAGATGACTCTAGAAGCTTCCGAGCGGAAGAGACCAGTTTATCTAGTTCTTTCTGAAACAGACGATGGTTTCAGAGCACATTTCAAAAATAAAAGCATGCTTATTGTCTCAATCGTACCTCTTTCTTTGACAGCCTCGTTCTTGGGGCGACAACTTTTTCGTCCTCGTCAGACGGGGTAGGACTTTCCTTCACTTTTGATGCCTTCCTTTCAGAACTGCAAACAAAGATTGGAGATGGGAAAATGACTATATCGTTGTAACGGGTTTTCGAAGACTGCAGTCCGGGACTACCTCTTTTTGGTCGATTTCTCTTCACTGTTCGGTTTCTTCGAATCCAGCCTTTTCAAAAACGCAGAACCATTGGGCTTATTCATAGCATTCTTGGCACTCCTAGTCTTTCGGCGAGTCCTTTCACTAGCATTTCCATTCTGAAGGAAAAAACAAGGTACTAGAAACAAAACAATTCTTCTGAACTAAACGATAAGGAAGAAGAGTTCCTGAACAACACACCGCATTCTCCTCAGCATCAGAGACTTCGTCAAGATCACTGGTTTCATCCGGAATATCATCCACATCATCATCAAGCGCTGCATGAGCCATTCGTAGAAGACGGTCAGTATCATCTTCCTCATCATCGCTCCCTTCCTTCCCTTTCCGCTTTTTGGACGAACTCTTCTATAATGTTGACAACTCTCACTGCTACATTCTCATCTTCCACCTTCACCAGCTCTATAGTGAATAGCATCACAACTAGTGTTATATTATGACCAATCAGGAAGCCGACAAGATTGTCATTTTTGGCAATTTTAGTACTTCCGAGCGCTACTCTCATAACCAGGAGCGGACGACCTGTCCTAACCCAGAAAGAGACTGATCAGCGACGACTAGTCGCGGTATGGTTTCTATACTTTCCACGATTACCAGCAATATTCCAGCCAGAGCTACCTGTAGAAAGTAGCTTTAGCTTAATTAAAGACATTATCCGCGCCCAACCAATTCGTAGGCGTCCTTCTTTGTCCAAATACTCTAGTCCGCAGCCTCACAGATTGTCAAACTCTAGCAGCTTCACGGTAACTGTAAGGCTATTTTCTGTCACGATTTCAGTTCTAACACCGTGTTTTTCGTTTTTTTTTTCACCGCTAGACGGTACTAGCACTGGATGGCACGAAGAAATGGTTGGTGAGTCAGAGGCGGCAAGATATAGTTTTGCTGGCGGGTGACGAGCAGCACCAGAGAACTCGAACAGTGAGGCTGCCAGAGGTCCTTATTGTGTTCTCCATAAGTTTTTCGATTTTAAGCGATCACAGGCTTGTAAGAAAACGCCTCTATCCACATACAATCGAAGGGTTTGCCTTTGATAACATACTCCTCATTGGAGCCTGCAACCTTCTCTCCTCTGCCCGATCTACTTTAAAACCTACATTCGCGCAGGGTTTTCCTTCTCGTGATCCTCCTTATTCTATAGTATTCTCTGAATGAACTAACACTACAGTACTCTTTTTATTCGAAGAAAATATGCAAATATTACCAGAAGACCAAGCAAAAGAGGATACTTCAATGGAGCTTCTGTGAAATTCACACCTGCTTTTCCTTCTTCGGCGGCTTCCCAGCTTTCTTGCGCTTTTCCTGCCTTATCAACTCTTGCATTTCGAGATCTTCATCGCTCACAACATCGCTTATGTCACCGCTGAAAAACTTCACAGTGACTTGTGAAGCTAGAAGTTCTATAAGTTATAGTTAACTAGTAGCAGTTGGCTAAAGCAGCTACAAATTTTGACTATGGTGATAGTTCTGATTTAGTCACTGAAAAATATGGTCTGTATATGGATTTACTACGCCCTCCAGGAACAGCCAAACTTTTAGGGGCGCAACGGGCCCTCAATTAATCACTTATCCAGCAGACACACACCGGCATAGGTAGGTTTAGGAAGCTTAATGCTGAAGAAAAGGCCATTCAGAAATAAATGAACACTTACTCAGACATCTCCCCATCCTTGTTATTCGTTTCTTCATCAACGACGGCCATCCTTGCCTTTTTAGGCAAACTCTTGGTAGAGCTTTTTCTTGTTGCACCTTTATCGGGAAGAGGTTCTCCACGGAAAAGGATTTCACCCGTATTCAAAACACGCACGTCCGTCTCATCAACGCTCTCAACGATTATCTGCAAAGGAAAAGCCATAAAAACTCGTAAAGGGCAAAATGGCGCCGCATTCAACTAACTGGTTTTGGAACGAAGGATCCAGTGCTTTGGATAAGTTCGTCTATTGACAAGGATGATGATGAGTTCTGACGAGAAAGCACAGGCGGTGATGAATCTTTGTCCAGTGAGCCATGAAATGGGATATATTTCAGATAAATGATAAGATTTAAAGAAAAAAGAAATCCGTATGACATAAATAATGGGAAATTAACGCATGTCATCGTGACCCCAAGTGAGCAGTACGAGTCCAGGGGCAGGTCAAGTCATTCCAAGGCAGCGCGCCAAAAACTATTCGAATCAGACAACACAGACGCATGCGGAGAGTGTACGGACAGCTGAGAGTGCGTTACGCGAATGTGAACATCGCTGACACAGAGACACAGTGTTGTCCAGAGCGACGATCGTGCTGCTCTCACCGCTGTTGCTGCTGCAGCAGCGCAGCCCCTCACTCAAAAAGACCAGCACGATCATCTCTCGCTCTCGCCGAGCCTGTTTCGCATCCATATTTAACCATCGGCCTTTTACAATGCCTAGCTGCAGTCGACGACATCAATCTTGCTACAAAAGAAGTACGAAATTCTTCGCCAAAGTAGTCTTTCCTTGTGTGCTGTACTTCGGGAAATGGCAGAGAATCAGTTTGATCAAATATTATTTCTGGGGGGGGGGGGGACCTAGCAAAATCTTTTCAATTCAAATAAATGGACAAAGACAGCACATTTTTGGGCTATCTTGGAAACCTATGATCAAGAAGACATGAACATTTAATCAAACTCAGTTACTTACTTGGTGAGTGACTTTCTCTGGTACTCGTTGAAAAGCGACACGCTTCAAAATTATCTGTGATAGGAGATCAATCAGTCCCTCACATGTAAGTTGAGCTTGGATGTTGCGTAGGCCCTCGCATTCGCGGTACTCATTTTTTTCTTCCTCCCACGCAGGGTAATCCGGCTCAAAATTTAAGGGAAACGAGATGGAGAATATTTATTGAAATCCTATTTCTTATATCATGTAATATCAAAGGATTCCTGAGCTTCATTATATTGTAAGTCTTCTTCTGAGTTGATGGAATGAAAACTCTTCTAACAAGGAAAGGATGGTTGGTCGAAGTGGCCATTCGAAATGAGACGTATACTGCCCGATGGGCCCTTGGACGCTGATTACAAATCTGCCCTCCATATCTGCTAAACGATTTCCTGGACAAAGTTATGCAGGATTTTTGACCAGGACACACCCATTTCCCTCATGCATATGAGGTGCTCCAATTGCCCCCAAATTGGGCTGAATGACTGAAATAGAGGTGCTTCGAGTGCCTGGAAAGCAGAACTAGCAGTATGTATATTCGTTGCAAACGATCGTTGTACGCATTCTGGAGGCAGGGTGTGCAGGAACCAGCCTCAACAGTCCTTGCAAGCGTTTTTACGCCGAACGAAGGTCGATACACTTTCGTGGCTCTGGGACTCAAAATTAGCCCTAGAGACAAGTTTTCAACCAAATTTGAGATTTCGACCTATTTTCGATACAGTGGGGTAACCATAGGCAGCCAATTCCTAAAGGTTGCTGGCACTATCGCCGATTCAAATCTCTGTGAGCAGTGGAGGTTCCTCGCTAAATCTTGGTCCTTGTTGGTTACTGACGATCCTGATAAACAGCCAGCAATCACCTTTGTCTCCACGTGCCATCTGTGAAATAGTTTGGCCGTCACAACACGAGACGGGCGAAACGAATAATGTCGCCGAAACCAACAATCAGGAGTTCCCACTAGGAGTGTTCCAAAATGGCTCTATCACATCAGAAATAACATTTTTTGGTAGAATCAGGTCTCCCAGCCTCGCAGAACTGCTTTCCGGATGCAGGAGGCATTTTTGAGGGAATGCAAAAAACGGGCGGAAACATGGAGGGGTTCGAAGTCTCTTCGCTCGCCCTACCTTGAGCGCGGCATACTATCCGCTAGGCCACCGATGCTCAACAAGTGACGCTCACGTCTCATTTGTGTACCAAGCTCAATTGTGCTCCGTACAACAACCTCCTGCATATCTCTGCTCAGAGAATCGTTTAGCAGATATGGAAAGCAGATTTGAAATCAGCGTCCGAAGACGCATCAGTGTGTATGCATCTTGTCTTAAATGGCCACTTCGACCAACCATCCTTTCCTTGTAAGTCTTTTATTTCTCGGCGACGCTTCGGGCCATAAGCCCTTCTTCAGGTCTACAAATATCACATATCTACAAAGCCTACACCAACAATCCTACTATTATACATACATCGCAAGATATTCGAAGAGGGAAGAAAAGTAATCAATTAATTAACAACTGACCGATTTCCTACAGGGGTCGGGCCTGGGTTGGAGTGGGTCTGGGATGGTCCTATAGGTCCCGACCCACTCCATCGCCGGACGCGCACTCCAACCCAGGCCCTACCCTGTAGGAAGTCGGTCAGTTGTTAATTAATTGATTGCTTTCCCTCTTCGAATATCTTGCGATGTATGTGTAATAGTAGGATTGTTGGTGCAGGCTTTGTACATATATATTTGTAGCCTGAAGAAGGGCTTAAGGCCCGAAACGTCGCCGAGAAATAAAAGACTTAGAAGAGTTTCATTCCATCAACCCAAAAAGGCCTATCTTCTTATTAGTTGTTCTGATGCACGTTAAATGAGCTAACCACCCTCTCAAACTCCCTAACACGTTTCGAACACGCTAACTCACTCCTTACCGGAAAGCGCAGCGATCGACCGTATCAAAGATAATCAGTTATGAGGCTCAAATACTATTGACAGGGCGGTAACTGACACAGAAGTGAAGAAGTAAAAGGAAAAATAACCCGCCGGAAATGCGCCATATAGAACCCTAAGGTGAACCGAGCTGCAGCTTTGCGTGCTTGAAACGAAGTGGGGGCGTGGAGGGACGAGTTCTCACTTGTTGGCGCCGGCTCTTTCTTCACATCACCTCACTCTCACCATTCAAAATTGAGAGAGTTAGTAATAGAACAAAAGCACCACCGGAAGCCCTCAGACTTGAAAGCTGGGCGTAACCGTGGTCAGTGAGCGCGACCGCGGCAGGCGTCGTAGCTGACGGGCCGCCCTTTCTTCACGTATTTTAAGTAGCACAATAAGCACAGAAGCAGTACATCCTCCGCGCTTGCGCATAGGACTACCACGCAAAAAGGAAGGCGTATGAACATCAAATGAACGCGGAGCGTGCCTTCGAATGTAAAGCGATTTGAGGGGGGAGGGTGGGGCTATTACAAGGCCCTATATCTAAGGAAGTCCCTAAACAATGTACAACAGGTGATAGGGGTCAGGTCCGAAAACTAGAGAAGGTAAGAGCTTTCGCTGCTTTGTTAAATTCCCTACCGTGACAGAGTATCAATGCAGAAAAATCTCCAAAAAATTAATTTGTGCTCCACTGGAAATTATTGAAAACAAGGAATTTTCGGGTACGGCACATTCCTACGAGAAAACTCGTCCTCAATTAGAAACTGCCTCACGCAAAAACCAGCAAAGGACGATGTTTCCTCAAGTAGTTAAAACTGCAAGACCAGATGGATGTTGGGCAGATCTCCTACATTGTCAGTGTAAAAGTGGACTCCTTGAACTCCCATTATAAACACGACTATGAGTGATATAGAAAGAAGATCAGCACTAGCTAGTGCAGTTGCAAAGGTCGAACGAACACCACAAAAAAGTAACGATCGTAACATTACCATACCAAAGAACGAAACTGATAGCACAACGGCATGCCCTTTTCAAAGCGATCAGTTGGCAACTAAGGAACCACTTATGGTACTGAATCGTATCGGTTGGTGCTGCAACGATGACATCGACACTTAAAAAGATTTTGGCACTATTCAAATTTTGCTGCCCCACTCTTCCGAAACCAGGCCAGCTTTTGACCGATGTTTTTTCCTCTGAAGGCAGACTTGGCTAAAAAGCTGCATGTGGTAGCTTGACCACCTGAATGAAAACTACATCCGTTAGCCCCTACCCTTTAGGCGCGCGCACCAAATACCTCACATCACCAACTCCGCAGGAAACTTGTCCCTAGGAGTTGTTTGACCTCCTGAACACGAATATCACATCTATTTGAGATGTTAAGAAAGCAAGGATGAAGTAAAGAGGGTACACCTGACCTGCTTCAGTAGCCTTCCCCCTCTTCCCGAGATAGCGATACTCTCCTATGCTGAGGCTGAGCTTCAGCAAAGGGAAGTTTTGCCATTACAGGCGACCAAGAAGGAAGCTGTTTTCCCAGCCGTCCCCCTTACTGCCCTAGGACACCGCCCGCCCCGAAACCATCTAAAGTTTCGTGCTACAGGCGGCGGAACAAGTGCTATGACATAGGCGTCAGGCCTGGCTTTTGAAACCTAAATGATGTGCTATTTTTGTTCATTGGGTCAAACTACCCTTGAGAACAAGTTTTCAGCGAATTTGGTGATTTAGGGTATTTCGTACCGGCACCTGCGGGCGCGAAGACGTTTAGCGCTAGACGGATATGATACTCGTGTTCAGGTATCACTACGCATTAGGGCAGCTAACTCTTTTGCAAGTCTGCTCTCCGGGAGAAAAAAGTCGGAAAGAAACTGGGCCTGAATTACGGATTATTGGGCCGCAGTAAGGGATAAATAATACTAAGAATTTTTTATTACCCTAAAATCCCATAGATAAGAGCGGTTTAATTTACCAGTGAAAAATGAATTGGAATGAAATTGAAATCGAATGCAGTCACCCCTCTAACTTGATGGATGGATAAATAAAAATCGGAGAAGAAGTTTAGAAGAAGCTCCGCCCTCAACTCTAAGCCCCGCCCACTTAATAAACAATTCATATACGAAAAAACATAAATATCATTAGGCGATTTTAACGGAATTTCTGTATTTCTTTTCTCTTCTTCTTCTTTTTCTTTCTATTTCTTAATTTCTGTTGTAAGCTATTATTGCGATAATCATGAGCACATAACGCGCCAAAAAAACGTATACAAAGCTGTCAATTTTCATTTTCCTTAGCACAACACCTGCTCTTATCTATGGGATTTCGCGGTAATTATTAGGTTGTTCGAAAAGTCCTGCGACACTTTGACCAATTTTTCGGACTAAATTTTCAGTCACTAAAAGACATCTCCAATCTACAAGGTAATCACCACTAAGGACTAGGACTAGTGCCCTTCTTTTGCACAGCTTCTCATTTCCATTCTTATAGAACTACGGCAACTATGATAAGAAGAAGAGGTGGACCTCATTTTTGAGTAGACGTCGATTTTCGGAATTTTTGCCTTCTTAAGGATGCGGTAGGGATCAAAAAAGGTAGTAGTTAGAGACTGCTAACTTTGATGAATAAGCTGGGTATGGTCCCCCCCGCATCTGCAAGATCAAGATCCAGCGAATTTTGGTGTGGCCTGATCCTAACATGCGGTCTTCGCATTGCCGAGCGGTAGAGAAAAATTGAGTATTTTTGAAGAATTCAAGCGTGACGTCATCCATGTTGTGAGGTTGGTTAGAGTGGACTGTAGTCCTTACCGTTATGCTAGTATCCAGAGATACCGCTTTGAAGTCCCACCAATAACCTACTGAAATCTTTATCCCATGCACATCTGCTTTTGGCTGTGCAATCTACTTTTCTGTCTGAGAGATCCTGCGAGGAACATGTGCAAGATGTACGCAAGGACCCCACCACTCTCTACCAACCACAAGATCTCACAAATGTTCCTCCAGTGTGTACAAGGAAAAAAAACTCAGTCACGGTCATTCGGTATGACTTGTCAGAGGGGTTCAACTCATGAGGCATCCTTCATAAAAAATTTTCCGATAACCGAGACTGCGGAGAAGCATGGCAGTTGTCAGTTAGGTGGAGCCTAGAGAGGTTGCCAACTTACTGGTGGTTACGTTCGGCTGCGCCTCAAGAAGCTTGAGTAAAGGGCCGTCATTCTGTGCTGGTGGCCGACCTATACATTGCCTACTTCCGAGTTGAATAAGTCCAGCCTGGAAGCGCTGATGCAAAAGGAACTCTCTGCTATGGCAAGCGATATCCTTCCTCAAGACAACGTAAGTGTCAGCTTCCTCGACTACGGCGGAGTGGCCCTACAGGAACTCATAATATGGACAGGTCGAAAAGTACCTCGATCTCTGGGGGAACTTTTAAGCTTTGAAAACTTCCTCAAAGTCATGATATACCCATGTGCAGAAACCCCAGAGGACACTCTCCACTAATCAGGGATAAAAACATCCAAAATGATTTTTGGTCTTTTTCTAGAACAATTTAATCAAAGTGTCGCAGGACTTTTCGAACAACCTATAATAATATTTAGACTAGAGAATACTAATAGCTGAACTCTAAATACTGCAATATCCTGTGATTTGGTGGTCGGGGAGAAAAAACCATTAGCCCTCTTTAGCAGTTTTTCTTCATAACGGGAACGCTCGCGATAATGAACAACGGCTGTGGATTACTTGTGCAGTTTTTAAATATTAAGTGCATAGCAGAGCCAGTAGGCCACATAGTAGCAAAGCACTTAAATTTTTCAAGTTTTTCTGGGCAAGCAATACAAAAAATAAAGCAACGACGAAAAACCTCGAAACTAGAGCTTACCTGCATTGATTGTTGCTGAAGAGTTTCCGTTTCTTCAACCACATCATTGCCAGCCCCATCACTGCCACCATTGCACAACAAAGAGATCACATCGATTGCTCCTTGATCTCCTTGGTTTTCGGGGAGCGAATTAACGGATAAATCGCTTTCCAGTGGATTACCACTATGATTTTCCACCGAATTACCATTATCATTTTCCAGCGGATTACCATTACTAGTTGTTTCTCCGGTGTTGCACACACCAGGGATACCACTCACTGAATCAGACGGAGTTCTCTCGGACCTGGCTTCCTAAATAGAGGCAGTGAAATGACCATAAAAAAGTTTCTAGTATACAGTGCGTAACAAAGTATGTGGACACCTCAAAATCTAGTTTTAAAGTGTAACCAAAAGATTTCTTGATCTGGATCCTTCCTCAATAGATTCCTCGTAGCCGATAGCCCTATATTTGGGCACTCGAGCGATAACGAAGCTTCATTTTCGTAACATATTTTTGAATAGAATTTCCTTGTTTGTACCAAAAGTATGTGGACACCTGAGAAAGTCCAAAGTTTGGCTCCAAATCTGCAATCCATTTTTATGGTCTCTAGTCCCCATTAACCTGTACTCATGCCTCGTCGTGGTAGTCCTCTCTACGAAGACGAACAAGCTCGGATTCGAGCTTTCAGTGCTGCAGGACACTCGAATAGAGAAATTGCAAGACAGCTCGGACTTTCGGCCACGTGCGTTGTGTGCCCGAATCTTAATGGCTACCATTCAGTACCTATTTCGAGGCGCCCACGATCTTTGTCCGCAAAAGACATCAGAAGAATAACGCTTACTGCCTCAAACTCTCCCCTTTCTGTGGCACAGATCCATGCTGCGATGAATCTACCGGTCTCAAAAATGACAATATGGCGCTCTATTCGATCAAGTGAGCACATCACTCGAGAGACCATGAAGAAAGCTCCCTGTCTGACTGCCAAGCACCAGCTGGCAAGACTGAACTTTGCGCGTGCAAACATGGTGGGACAAGGTGCAGTTTCTTGAGATATTTGTAAAATCAGAAAGGCAACATCTTATGCGCATTTCTTTCTTAGGTTATCTTCACTGATAAGAAAAAGTCAATCTCGACGGTCCAGATGGATATCAGCATTACTGGAGAAGACCTTTGTAGCGATCCGTTGGTGTTCTCGAGACGAAATTTCGGAGGCGCCTCTTTGATGGTATGGGGTGGTTTTGGAAGCAGCGGAAAGTTGGAGCTTGCCTTCTCATCGTGGAATACCAAGGAGTGCTTGAGTCTAACCTCTTGCCTTTTCTGAGCGGGCCACGACGCAGGACACATGTGATGCAGCAGGACAACGCCGCCGTGCATGTTTCAAATTCTACTAGAAAATGGCTCCAACGCAATGGTATCAAAGTGATTGATTGGCCGGCGTGTTCTCCTGACTGCAACCCAACCGAACCTGTGGGGATCATGGTTCGACGAATCTACATGAACAGTCGGCAGTACAACAGCGTGCGAGACTTGAAGGAGGCGGTAGTTGCTGCATGGGAAATCGACGAAGACACCATGACAAATCTTGTCCACAGCATGCCAGACAGAATGTTCGAAGTAATAGTGAACGCTGGAGGAGCACCAACTTCTAATTTTGATACTTTTGTTTTTTGTTAAGTGTCCACATACTTTTGTTATTAAGAAACTTTTTCAAAACAATAAATAATTGTACAGAAGTTCACAAAGTGGTCAGAAGTAATGTATTCTTATGTTTCCGCTTAAAAATTCAGAATTGAAAAATTCAACAGTAAAGGTCTCATATCGCAAAATCCAAAGGCAATTTCGCAGAAAAAAAAATTTGAGGTGTCCACATACTTTTGTTACGCACTGTATATCGACCTTCATGGAAGTACGGTTACCATGATATCGGGATTTACGCATT